GCCTAAGACCGCCGACTCGCACACATGTCGGCTCTCCGACACGGGGACTCCTCTCTCATAGGACCTCCGATCGCGACGCGCCGCAGGGCTTCTTTTATTTGCACCGGGTCCAACCAAAATGTCCAATCAGAAGCGCCGCTGGTCGTCAGGGCAGATTCCTCCAATTGGGGTCGCCGCTGGGCCACGTCAGACCCCCAGACACGAGGACGCCGGCTCGCTGTCACGTGCGCTGCTGACTCAATGCACGTGGGCCAGAGAGGCGCTGCGCGTGTTCACGCCGTTGAGTTGTTCGCGTCAGGCGGACTGCGGGCTGGCCTTGACCCAGATTGCCTTTTTCAGAGGCACGGACGTTTGACGAGGACTCGCTGGCATAACATGCTCTCAGCTCAACGTCGACTTTGTGCGCCAAACAGTTGTCGACGACAAGAAGAACGCGTCTGCCACCCTGTGCCATTCGCCTGACTAATTTCAGTAGCCACTTCCTGATAGGTCACCCGTCATTCAGGCTTTCTTGTTTGCGGCGTACTCCGTCGACAGTGACCGAATGTTTTTGAAGCACCGTGGCTTGAGTGCTTTACCAATCACAAAAAGGGGGACCTTTTTCGTACCGGTCATATTTGCGACGACCAGAACAGTGACACGCTCTTTGCTGTGCTTGCCGCCGGCACAGCTGTCTTGTAGGTGATCGTCTTGTCTGGCTGCAACTTGAAAAATAACGCTTTCTTGTCAGCGTTGAACACATCCTGTGGTGAGTAGCTCTCCAAGTACTGCTGCAGGGTGTCGCTTCTCCAAGTAGCGCATGTTTCGGCATCCACTTCCTTTGCCTCGCCAGATAACGTGCGGAATACGAGATCGTGCCGCTCCCTGAAACGATGAAACCATCCCTCGGAGGCGACAAAGTCTTCAATGTCCAAGCGCAGGGCGAAATCTGCTACCTTGGCCATGATGATAGGGCCGCTCAATGCGATACTCTGGGCTCCCATTTCTTTAACCCAGATAATGCAGCTTCCCTGCAACCTCTTGCAACTTCCCTGCAACTTCCAATCTCATTAACCAGTACCATTTGTAAACTTCTTGAACATATAATCCACACCCAAGTAATTAACTACCTGGAAGATCATAACATTATACATAAATATCAGCATGGCTTTCGCCGAGGATACTCATGTGACACGCAGCTCGCCAGCTTCATTCATGACATACATTCAGCTCTCGACGGTGGATCCCAGGTTGATGCTATTTTCCTCGACTTTTCTGAAGCTTTTGACCGTGTCCCTCATCACCGGCTTCTAACCAAACTGTCTAGGCTTAACATTCACCCTAACATTTTGGCATGGGTAAAAGATTTCCTTTCTTCTAGAACACAGTTCACGTCCGCTAACAATTGTAACTCTTCCTTCAGACGAGTAACTTCTGGAGTCCCACAGGGTAGCGTACTTGGTCCACTACTGTTTCTAATCTACATTAATGACTTGCCATCCTGTGTCTCATCCCGAATTAGAATTTTTGCTGACGACTGTGTGATTTACCGAATAATTTCCTCTGACAATGACCGGAAAGCTTTGCAAACTGATCTAAATGCTATTAATGCATGGTGCTCATCTTGGCTAATGACCCTAAACTGCTCTAAAACGAAGTCTACGTCTTTCAGTAAACACGTAACCCGGATTCCTACCTCCTACGTGTTGAATAATACTACTGTTGACCTCGTCTCCACTTATAAATATCTTGGAATTCATTTGCAACCTGATCTGACATGGCACTACCATATAAAACTTACCCTGGCGGCTGCTAACCGGTCTTTCGGATTTCTCAAGCGTAACCTTAAACAGGCTCCTCCTAACATACGCAAACTTGCATTTACTACACTAATACATCCAAAATTAGAATACGCATCAGCCATTTGGGATCCCGAATATGCTTACATCATAAACGACATTGAATCACTGCAAAATCGTGCCGCTCACTTCATATTTTCAGATTATTCAAGTCATTCCAGCGTCACAGCACTAAAACGCCGAGCAGAGCTACCCGAACTATTCCATCGTCGCAAACTTGCACGCCTATCACTTTTCCATAAACTTTATCACCACGTGTCACTTCACAGCGATTTCTTCGAGCCACCTGCCGTTATTTTTCCTCGCCGCGATCACCCCTACAAAGTTAAACGCTTAAACTGTAAGTCATCTGCTTTTTCCAAGTCATTCATTCCGCGTACCACAATCGATTGGAATAATCTACCATCACACATTGCCTTAGAAAAAAACGCCACGAAATTTCAAGAACTAATTCAAAATACTGACATCATCTAACTTTTGCTCTTTTACTTGTTTTTCCCTCTTTTCTATAACGTGCAGAGCACACGTGTAGTATTTTTACCTTGATTCAGCTTATTTGAGGTGTGATGAGTGAGTGTATATTTTTTATTCGTTTTTGAGTGTACGCTTTATTTTTTTTTTATCAAGTGTATTATTTTTTCTTGCATTTTCATAGGTTGTTCACTGGGTACTTATCTGTATTCCAATGATTTGTTGCCTATTCTTTTCTCTATTTTTGCTGTTTTTACCAATTACTTGTTATAACATATATCTCAACCTTAGTCTGTATTTAATTTGAATTTTTTGACCTTTTTTTTCGTTTTTGACGTTTATTGTTTGTAATTTTGCTCATGTAACCCCCCCTATGTAATACCCTCTCACGAGGGCCTTTAGGGGTATTATGAATGAATCAATCAAAGCTGACTCCAGTTCTGGGAACTTCGCTGTCCTTAGCCTTTTTCGACTGGCGCCAAAATCCTCGGCTTCATAGGCGTTTTCATTGGCCGTCCTGTTGCGTATGTAGGTTGACAACGTGCTCGGAGGTATGCCGTGCTTTCTCGCAATTTCGTATTTGCTCGAGTTCCCTTGGTCAACCTCTCGCAAAATCTCCACCTTCTCCTTGACAGTCTTCGCGCAGTAGTTTCCCCGCGGCATCTTGCAACTTCGATGCGGAATAAGATGGATTGACGGTGTGAACGAACAACGTGCTCGAGGAACAAAGTGACGCTGCCGGGCGCGGCCTAGGACTGCTAGGACTACTCCGCCGACTCCTCAGCGTGCCGCGGGTCCCACGTATGCAAGTTGCGCCAGGCGCCGAGATAGCGAGAGGGCTACGGAAAAAAAAAAATTGCTCCCTGGATTTCGGAGGCCATACTTTGCTCGTCCTTTGCTCGGAGGCCACTTAAAGCTCGAAAAAGCGGTCGTGCCACCTATCGTTTGGCCGTAAAAGCTTCCACTAGTGTTTGACGATGATGACGCCCGGCGGCGCGCGCTTCGAATTATCCGTAGAGGCAGCAATTTCTGTTCGAATTAACGAATCGTTTTACACATGGTCTCCTATGCACTGCAGACCGGACTGCGGCGACATCGCGGCTGTGGCGGCTGCCTTTCCGATGGAGGCGGAAATGTTGTAGGCCCGTGTGCTCAGATTTGGCTGCACGTTAAAGAACCCCAGGTGGTCTAAATTTCCGGAGCCCTCCACTACGGCGTCTCTCATAATCATATGGTGGTTTTGGGACGTTAAACCCTACATATCAATCAATCAATCGGACTGCGGCAACCATTTCGAATTATCCAATATTTCGAATTAATGAGGTGTGAATTAACGAGCTTTCACTGTATTTGTTGTTTTACTAAAGGACGTTGAATTTTCTCACAATTTGCGGCACTTTTTGCGCTTACTCATCCAATATGATACAACGGTCTGCCCATCAGCATGGTCAATGAGCAGATGCAAAAAGCATAAAACGTTTCAGCATAGGAAAAGGTGTCATCCTGCAACAGCACGCCTGCTGATATATTTTCGCAAAACGCATTTCACATGATGTCACCAGACAACTGGCACCAAAACTGAACCTACTCAATGTGCAATCTTTTATAGCTTCACTGGCATCACAAACCTATATGCCAAGCTAAAAGTTACCTTTCCAGTTCTCTGCCATCGTGCAAGTTTATTCACTACAGCAACAACACCAGAACATGCTTTGTTGAGTTTATTTCTTTGGATGGTAAGAGCATTTGGCAAGAGCATTTGGATGGCAAGAGACAGTATTATAGAATGTAAATTGCAATGCTACAGGAAGACATTATTACAGCGACCTCTGTGCTGAACAAAACCTGAAGGGCCAGTAGAATGGGTTAGATTTATGAGAGCTTCCATCTACTGAAAGGCTAAGCTGAAAGATTCTAAAATGCTTCTTTTTTTTTAACGGCAACTTCTTCATTGCATACAACAAATAAGTTGTACAGCCCAAAAACGTTGCCTAGAAAGAATGAACTACAAGAGAAACAAGAGCTAGTGTTCTTACTGACTCACACATCACAAATGGGTAGCTATCAAATTGCCATTCCTAGTTCAGGCCCACACCTGCCACATCACCACACACCGCTTGACATTTTTGTGGTTTACTGAACCCATTGTTTCATATCATAATCATATAGTGGTTTTGGGACGTTAAACCCCACATATCAATCATGAACCCATTGTTTCGCTCTCGGAAGCAAAACTGCCAGAAATGTCCTGCAGCTTTTTTACTTGAATCAAGAGGTTGCTTCTTGGGACGTCTTACTTTAAAAGCAAGCGCTGTTTTTGCTACACCACTACTCCCCGATTGCATTTACAACTTGCAGCTTTGTGTCTTGCATGATACCATTGAGCAGGCGTTTCGCGGTCTCTGTTGGGAATGCTCTGAAAGCTTGCCAGCCGGAGCCAACCAGGAGCATGACTTGAGCTCGAAAAACGGATAGAATATACACAGCAGCAGAAAGTCCTAGTCACTGCGCACTGCGAAAGCCACCAATGCAAATCACCATGAAGCTAAAAGCCTCTTCCGCACTGCTCGTAGTTACATTTACCGATGTTTTTTTTGGCAATAAACAAATGAAAAAAACTACCAAAACATTACATGAGTGTTCCATGCTAGCGTCTGACAAGCAAATGCTGTACACCACACAAAGGCTAACCTGTCTTTGCTGGGGATAAAAACTTTCTGTACACCGAAATAGCACGATGATCGGAGGACAGCACCAAAGTTCATTGGATCCTGCACAAAGAAAGGCGAAAAAGTTGCACTGACCAGTCGTAAGTCTTCTGGTGCATGTACGAAAATTTCTGTCAGCACACTATACTAAAAGGCAGGAGGGTCAAAAGGAGAACAGGATGCTTTCATGTCAAAGCACACTGATCACGGCAACAAGGGTGAACACACACTAAAGTGACTGAGAAGTCTAAATGCTCATTAACTGCAGGATCAAATAATTACCAACTCATCGAATAATTTAACTGACTGGTACATACTGATGAAACAGCCAGGTAATAGATTCGAGTATTTATTTTTTCAACCAAATCACTATTTACTTCAGACTTAAAATTCACAATCGACACAAGCCCAGTTAAAATGTTCACATTACCTGTATCCTATCCATGAAAAGCCACAGTGGCCTGCCAGGGTCCTCCCCAACATCACTGTGCAGAAATAAAAATGAAATGGTGGAGGCGGTGATTCTAGCAACAAGCCACACTAGCTTACATTGTAGCACAAGCAATTTACATTTCTACAAATGTGACCACAGCTTGTTTGAAGACTATATTTAAGCAAACAACTACATAAGTATTAGGCAGAAGGTTCTACGAATAGGGCACAAGAGCTTTAACCTACAAAATATATAGTGCATCGACATTTATAACATTTTAGGGAGCCCCAGATTTCTCCACTGCACAGTGTTAGCAAAGTTCCGAAATTGTTGCATTGTTGTTTTGTTTTTTCAAACTTTGAAAGCTTCAAGCCACAATGTTAAAATGCCTAGAAGAATAATTTGGCAAAGCAGTGTGCGCGCAGTGTTCAATAAACCAGAAAAGAGCATCTTTGTGCCTTTCATTTGTGGCACAAACGTTTATGTACAAGACTTGCTTTTGTCAGCTACACTCAAAACTCATTCAAACAAAGTTGTACATTGCACATAAATAACTTCGTTATATCCGAAAATTCGTTGATTCCTAACACTGTAACTATAGCAAGACTAATACCTATTTATTTAGTTTGTTATAATGAATATTTCATTATATCCAGGTCTGAGTGTATATCGATGACAAGAGAAAAGCTACAGCCAGTATATATATATCAACTAAAGTTGAGATACCTTATTTACTCGCATAATCGGCACACTCGCATATTCGGCACATTCGTATAATAGGCACCCCCAAACTTGGCCGTGATCAGAAACGATTCTACACCCCAGCAGTACAGTTGGAAAGCGGTTCCCGTACATTGAGAAAAAAAAAGGCAAATCGACAAACAAATGAAAAAATTCGAAGTGCAACGACCTAACCAATGTGTTTGCCGAAATAAATCATGAAAAAAAAAGCGTCCATACGCGGAAAAAAACGACTGTTCCATCAATTAAATACCCCCCCCCCCCCCCCTTCCCCATCGCCACGCTCCTTGGAGGCAGTGTGTACAACGCCGGAAGCTCGGTCGTCATAACCACCATCAGAGAAAAAGAAATGCCCTTTCGCAAGCGGTGTATGTTGTGGTCGTGTATTCAACTTTGGTTCCTCCATGGGAAAGTACGCAAGCTACACGGCTGTATTTGAACTGGAGGCAGTGCAGCACATGCTGGAGCACGGCAACAGGGCTGCAAGCAGACATTTCGGTGTTGAAGAAACCAGTATTCGATACTGGAGGGACGAAGAAGAAAAACTTTAAGCGACAAAGAAGACACAACTAGCTTTCGGCAGTGCCAAGACCGGCAGGTATCCTAACGTCGAAGAGCAGCTGGTCTGGCATATACAGGAGCTATGACGAGACGGCTGTGCTGTGTCATCAGATATTGTGCAGACTGAGGCACGCAGAATAGCCTGAGCACAGTGCACTGAAGCAAAAGAGCTCAAAGCCAGCTCCGGATGGAGAACTCGTTTCATGCGGCTCCATGGCCTCGCACTGCCAAGGCGAACCACCTTGTGCCAGAGCTTGCCCGCAGCATATGAGGACGAAGCGGTGGACTTCCACCGTTTCGTTATAAAGCAACGACAGCAGGAAGACTTCATTTTGTCCCAGATCGGCAACGCGGATCAGACCCCCCTATGCTTTGATATGCCGTGGAACACGACAGTGGACGAGAAAGGTGCACGGAGCGTCAACATCAGAACGTGTTGCGCTGATAAACAACGATGCACCGTAAATGCTGGCAGTGGCAGCGAATAGGCGCAAGCTACCGCCTTACGTTATCTCTAAACATAAGACGCTCCCAAAGGCAAATTTCCCTTAAGGCATCCATGTCAGAGTCCAGGAAAAAGGCTGGATGAGCGCGGAAGTCATGGTGGATTGGGCGAAAACAGTCTGGGGTCGGCGGCCGGCTGGTCTGCTGTTCTTGTCTAGGCTTGTCCTGGACAGTTTTCGTGGGCACCTAGTAGACCGCGTAAGAGATGAGCTAAAGGAGCTGCACACAGATCTGGCAGTGATTCCGGGCGGCCTCACATCAATACTGCAGCCTTTGGTCGTGTCCTTGAATAAGCCTTTCAAGAACAATGTTCGAAGGCTGTGTACACCACCTGGATGGCTGGAGGACATCAGCTGACTCCAAGTGATAGGATTAAGAGGGCACCTGTGGAAATGCTGTGCGCTCGGACTCCAAATACGGAAAAGGAAGAACCCCTACGACTTTTGTGTGAATAAATTTTACGCGTGTGTGTGCAGTTGACGGCTCTTGCTTGTTCATTAAAAGGTACGTAGGTATGTTTGTTTTATGCTGAATTAATTAGTAAACGATAAAGTCCCCTTTTACTTGACAAATGTGCACATTTAAAACGCAAAAACAGAGTCGAATAATTTTTCGAGAATTTTAACCCGCGTTATTGGTGCACCCCTAACTTCGAATTGAATTTTCTAAAAAAAAAAAAGTGGGCCTATTATAAAAAGTAAATGCGGTATTCAATATTTAAAGTTCTTGACGGGGCCCCATTTCAAGTAAACTTGTATTGTAACCTACAGACGACCACTTTCCTGAATTCAAGGCCACGTTTGACGGCATAAAAAAGTGCATGAAAAGAAAAAGTTAAGAAACTAAACACGACATAAACTACACAATGCTAAAATGATAACTGCTAAGTAATTAAGAATCTCTGAAACATTACCATAGCTTCACCCGACCACTGTGGTTTATAATGGGCATCTCCAATGCCTTTGAACTTGTCTGTTCAATGTGCAAAAAAATAAAATACTGAAAATGCAGGTGGTGATGCTGCATTGAGGTTCACATGATAGCTTGCCACTACATCCTAGACTTCGACTGCATCTGCCAGGACTGCCACAACACTTTTCTGGCAGAAATAAGTTACGAGGCATTCCTAATGAAACCAGACTTAACATGGCAAGCTTAGGGATACTTTATTAGGGAAATGATGCCAAACTACGAAGAAAAGACATTCAAAAATTAAGTTTTGAACCTCGTTTTTTCTTAAATTCCTAAACGAAGAGCTTACGATTGTAAAGTTAACAACAGCAAAGCTGTCAAAAACTGATTCGTGAACATAAACAACTTTGGTGCCTTGGTTAGGCGTCTCATTAAGGTTATCTTAGTTCGGTGCAGCAGTTTCATTAATTTCGAGCCCTTCACCTTTTGTCAAAGCAGCCCATAAGAGTCTCGCCTTGCTGTACAGGAAGTTGGGACACATCCAGGCACACGCCCTGCACGATACATGCCAAACCTTGTTCTACAAACACTTGATGAACAAACAAAAATTACATGTGACGTGGTAAATACTAAGAAACAACTGTGTGCTCTTGTTTTCCATGGTAAAAAAAAAAAAAAACTACTCATGCCTCTGATTATGAGAAGAGCGAACGTTACCACAACAAGATGAAATTTCACAATAAAACAGTTATCACAAGACTCTATGCTGCCGTCTTCAAAGTATGTTTACCTCAATGGCATGCCCTCTACTGTCCACATGCACTTAATAAACAGCATTCACCTAATGGCTCAACAAGAATTACAGGACGACAGCCTTGGCCTGAACTAATAATTTAGCTAGTTCATGCTGTAATGCACCCAACTTCCCTCGACACCATTTTCTTTAAACCAAAACTTTAATTAGATGACTGGGTAATAAGGATACAAAGCAATGAATAAACAAGTTGATAAGGCATTTGACACTATAAAAAAACAGCGCTGCGAAATCTTGGACACGTAAAGACAAACTGAGGCGTGATGTCCTGGTTCTCTTTGCACTCACGACACAAGGAGGAGAAGGAGTCGTGACTTCACATGCGGCATCATTACGCATGTGGCGATGGGTCGCCTCAAAGTTCTGGAAACCATTAGCAACCGAAGACACCCCACTGAATGATGCCGGGCACAGCACTGAACACACAATGTTGAATAGGCAAGGTAGTCAGTGTTTCGAACACTGTGCACTCTGCGTGCAGAACACTCCCCCCGTCTAGTGTCGACTCCCATTGCAAACCACCGTAGATCATGACTACACTAGAAGCACAACTTAGATAACAGGTCTGTGGAACGTATTCCCTGTTTCATCCTTAACTGCCTTGACTTCTACCTTTTGCACTCTCCCATGCATTCTGGGAAGACTGTGTCACGATTCCTACAGGCCAGTTGCTGCAGGCGGCCTGGCTACTTTATAAGATGACATGGCCTTTCTTTAAATTAGGCTTTGGTAGTTGCCACTTGCGCCGTTGCTGCAAAGTTTAGAGGAAGGGAGTGCAAATGGGCTTCCAAAAACAATCACCCAAGCTCTGCACTAGTTAGTTGCCAGTGCCGCTTACATAAGTTGCCTGTGTCCAGTTTTTCAGGGACTGATGCATTGTTCACCTGTTTTTGTGTCAGAAAAGTTGCTGGAGCGAGAAGATAGGGATAATCGGGGTCATATGATAAGGAGGTTAATGACCTGGTATTGATGATGGCAGACACTTTTGCCATGAAGGTCTCAAGCTTGTCGTGCGTTAGGAGATAATGCCAGTTCTGAATGAACACACTAGGCGGCGTGTGATGCCAATCATTCGCTGCCATGCTCTGCCCGTATGAGAAGCATGTGGTGGGCTGAATTCCCAACAGCAGCCTTTCTCGCAAAGAAAGTTGCCAATGTTGGAACGATTGAGGCTCTTGGTAATATTTCCTAGTTCCCCGCACACTCCAACAAAGTTTGCCTTGCAGTCAGAGCGTATAAGCTTGACAGGTCCTCGTATCGCCAAGAAAGTATGAAAGGCATCTCTGCCATGTCAAGAGACTCAATCAGTTGGATGTGCACAGCACGAATACTGAGGCAAGTAAATATGACTGTCCAGTGCTTGCTGTTGGCTATGCCACCTCTTGTTGGGTAGGATGCCATGCCCCACTGGCATCACACACAGGCATGCCACTGCCTCTATGGTTTTCGTGGACGCATCCGAGAAGACGTCAAGTTCGTTGCATCGTGCCTCGCGTAGCGACAATGGTGCACATGATCGTGCAATCAAAAAATCGTGTAATGCGTGTAGTGAGGTTTCCCTGTCAGATACAATGTGCATATGATCGTGCAATTAAAAAATCGTGTAATGCGTGCAGTGAGGTTTCCCTGTCAGATACGTCGTCCCACTGTCGTCGCTTCTTTTCTAAAAAAAAAAAGCACGCTGCTTATCGAAACTGGTTGGACGGGCGAATGGACGCACGGGCGGCCACACAGACGCACACATGGACGGACGGATGCTTCGCCCCACTCTCCATCATTCACTCCGTGGATATACTGCCATTTTTTCGTTTGTCGAGATATCGTAATGAAATTTTCAAGGTACGCTGATAGCAAAGCCATTTGAATATTCACAAAATTTCATGCATTTATGTTCACTGGTAAATGGGTTTTTTAGTCAGGCTCTGGTGAATTTGGTGAATGTGCTAGCAATGTGAAATTCACCATGATGATTCCTAGATGAGTGCTCTACACTACGACAGAGCCCTTTTTTAAAATTTCCTTGATGAAACTTTTTTGGCAGAGCACTGGATTTAGTGTCTGGCTTTCAGCAATAAAACTTCAATTATATTTTTACAAATTACTGAAACAAAAATCTGAAAAGGCGACTTAGTGTGCGGGCAATTTACTAAGGTACATAATAAAACAAATCTGATATAAATCAGATGAACGGTTCCAGAGATATCACCCGACTAAACAGCCTCGCTGGCCAAAAAAGCCATTTTGAGAAAACACTTTGAAAGTTTCGAATCACCCTGCATAGTAGGTAGATGTGTCCTGTGGGACTACTTTCCTTTGCCGCTTTTTCTGCTTGTCGTACAGCAGGTCGCTAAGAACATCCCCTTGCACGAGAAAATATTTTTCGCCCTCAGTCGTAGCAGCGGCATCTTCAGGTTCAGGCTTGATCCGAAACTTCCTATGAATCGCCGGCATAGCGCACAGCTTTATTTGCACAGCCGCACGTTCACAGTCTTCCACGGATAACTCCTCGCACGTCCAAAAACGTATCTGCAAATGCACATTCGACGACGTGGTCACACTGTTCAGGGCCATTATCCCTGCGTTTAGTGAGCGAGACGCATTAGGTGCACTTGAGCACGAAACACCAACACCAGCTTCACTTGAGACGATGGAGCCTTGCTCCAAAAGTGTAACAATCTCGACAACGCGAGAAGTGTCAATGCAGTCATTGTCTTGCAGAGACAAAGCAGAAGCTGCTCCGCTGGCCGCGCGTTGGCACGTGAACAAGCCGCGCCATGCGTACGAGTTTCATCTGACACTTTCTTGAACCGAATGCATGCAGAGTCTCAAACTCCGTTTTGCCCATCGTGACTGACAGCGCAACAATCGACATCTCAATCCCTGAAACAATTTCATTCATAATGAAAACTGACTACGCAACAAACTTTGGAACCCATGCCAGAGCCAAAATATCATGTTCGTTTCATGCAGGTCTGTTACTGCGAGAAGCAAACAGTACAGTAATCCAGCTCACCTGGTGAACTTCTCTGCCACACCACTGATGCAGAAGGTTCTGCGGGCAGCCACTGACGGGCAGCTCCTGCTCCTTGGCCAGGTCCAGTATCTGGAGTAGCAGCGGACTCTGTTCCAGCCTGCCTGCCTTGGACAGCTTGCGTTCGTCCACATGCAGCTCATACAAGATGCGCTTGCGAGCACGCAGCGCCAGCAGCACGGGGTGCAGTCCAAACACGCGTTCACCACCAAGGCTGGCTTTCGGCTTGTTAGTCTGACGCTGCTCGGATGTCTTAAATACTGGCCTTCTGGTTGAAAAAATCCCGCGACAATGTGTGACACAATGCATACGGCAGCACTGCCTGCATAATTAGCCCAGTGAGAGCTTACGACAATAACGCATATAGCATATATTATATATAGTATATACAGCATATATAGTATAGTACATATAGTATATAGGTAACGACAATATAGCATATAGGAACTGCTCACTGCGCTTGGCCCGCGCACCCCTCGCTAGCGGCCCGCACATGCCTGCCTTCATCCAATATTTTTCATGAGGTACCCATGCCGTCAATATGTGTTGAAATATAAAACAGTGCAACAAGATTGCTTAATTAAGAATCTGAGTCCAAATTTCTGGGATTCTAGGAGTCTGTATCAATGTTCCTGGAGTCCAACGACTCAATTCGTTCCAGAAATGACCCATGAACGAGACTGAGAAAGTATTCTTTCATATGCGCTATTAGCTGACGTACCCTTCAATTCACCCCTGCAATGCTGATTATTGTCCCAGTCCTAGCGCACCTAATTTTGTGACTACCGCCACCTAATGTCATTTTAAGAACCCTGAGACAGGCAAAGCAGCCAGAGAGAGTGATCAACAGCTTCACTTTAGAGTCCTTTGCAAAATAAAATGTAATAGTACAAACAATGAATTATGTTTGCAGGTAGAATGTTAAGGTCCTGCTTAAACTCGTGTATTGCGATTGCTTTGGCGCAATATGTTTGCAGGTAGAATGTTAAGGTCCTGCTTAAACTCATGTATTGCAATTGCTTTGGCACAATATGCTCCTGTTCACATGTCTATACATAGTGTGCACGTGCGTCACGCAGCGCTGATTCGTCACTTCCGAAATGCGCCACAGACATGCCTGGGTACCTACTGACTCCGTGGCCGACGCTGCCGTGTTGTTTCCTTGTGCATGCGCCCGTTAAGTTTTGCCTAACGATGCAAGTTTGAGCATTTATCAGCTGCAGGTGAGGAAAGTTGATATAGCAGTCCACGAAGAGGGAGCAAAGCGCCAGGGTGTTCTGTTTGCCGAAAGTTATTACCTAAAATTGAGAACGCACATTGCGATTTTCCCAATATCACCAGCGTGTTTGGCTGGCGCAGATTAACAAAAACGACTTGAAGAACCAGTGATATTTGCGTCTTTAGGTGTAACTTCATTACGGGTAAGTGCTATGTCCAAGCACGTACCTGCAAATAGAGATAGGTACTGTATATACAAACTTGTCCGCCACCGCTGCGTGCACAATCAGCGTCTCAGGGAGGCGGTTAGAATTGTGAAGGCCATCGCGGGAATTCGGGTATTGCATTCAAACAAACGGCGAAAACGGATGTGAAACGACATTCGTTCACTCCCGACTTGAAGTACAGCCGATCGGTTTGAGTTGGGGGCTCAGGTTTTTTGAAAATTGGTCGATTGATTCCCTAAAACAGTCTATCATTTTTAGAGACTACTGTACATTAGCGCATAATAACAAAAGTAATATACAAGGTAAAAAATTAGTCAAAACAAACGCGAAAAAAAAGTGACCGGCATCAGCTCAGCATGCACCACGCGAAGTCTCTACCTTGCATAATATATTCCTCGACTGTTTTCACAAATTCTAATCAAAGACGCTCAACATTAGCACTGTTTAAAACACTCGGGGAGCCGCACTGCTACTTTGGTGGTGTGGGCCACAGCAATATATTAAAATTGTTAATAATATATCTCCTGTAAACTTTCCTCTGCACTATGACTCATTTTCGATGGAAGCTGTGCGCTTCGCTAATTCACCTTTAAGATTGCGGCTCGAGTGACTTTGAGCTTTCACTTGTTTTTCGACCACGCGATTTGTAGTGACAGCGAGATAATGGGCCCTCTTAGACCGTGGCGGGTAGCCGGTGTACGCGGTGGCTGGTATACGTCACACGTTTTGATTTTCTGATTTTGTATCGAGTGAACAAGCGAGTTCTTCCTGACCCGATGAGCTCGTTAAAGCATGACAACGAAAAACCACACTGCTTCTCTTTTAACATCATGCACAGCAACAGATGACTAGCCCCAACAAACCGCGTTGCAGCACGCAAACTGCTGTAGGTACCCAGCGAGGTACCCGGGCATGGCGGGAGATGGCGAAAACAGCAGAAGTGACATCACATGAACACTATGTATAGGGAGCTTGCATCAACGGCGGTGACGCTATGCGCTCTGGGTAGGCAGTCATTTTTTTGTCAGAGGCGGCCAGAGAGTGCAGCAGCGCAGTCGTGTTTGCGAGCGTTGGCGTAGCTTGCAAGCGTGATCGAGTGCGAGCACAACGCAAATTTAACTCCAAGAAGTGTCAAGCACGATGTCAGCCTCTCCGGAAGACTACACCGCAGCGCTGTGCTAGAAAGACCTCGAGTGGTACAAAAGAAGAGACGAGAAATCGCACCGAGTGGACCCATTCACGCTTCGTGCGGGCGACTGTGTTAGTGACGTAGACTTGTGGCCACGCGTCGACAGCTCCGATATTCATGGATTTCTCGTTCCAAGAACGAGTTTGAAAACCCGGGAGCAGATGAAGTCCAGAAAGGCCCTCGAGGGTCACAACTTTTTTGAGAGTAGCTGGTTGTGGGAGCCGTGGGTGAATAAATTCGCCGCCGACACCGTGGTCGTCGTCACTCAATTAAGAGGTGTTAAATTACTTGAGTTTGCCACAGATGCTAATGCTTGTTTCTGTTCCGAATTATTTCTCAATGTGTTCACAAGGCACCCGTCGACATCTTGTTCATGGGCAAGAGTGATGGCGAGATCCTTGCCGCAGACTGCACATGCATGGCCAGGAACAGCGAAGCCTGCTCGCATCCCACTGCGTTGTTATTATACGTAAAGTACGACGCACGTGCATGAGAAGAGTGTTCTCAATTTTTTTTTAACACGTCTTACTTGAGTGACGACGGCCACAACGTCAGCGGCAACTTTCTTCACTCACGGCTCCCGCACTCGGCCACTCTTCAAAAAGTTGTGGCCCACGAGGGCCTTTCTGGACTTCATCTGCTCCCGGGTTTTCAAACTCGTTCTCGGAACAAGAAATTCATGAATATCGGAGGTTTCGATGCGTGGCCACAACTCCACGTCACTTACACAGTCCCCCGCACGAAGCGTGAAAAAGGGTCCACTCGGAGCAGATTCTCGTGTCTTCTTCGTATCGCTCGAGATCTTTCTGGCGTAGCGCTGCGGTGTAATTTTTCGGTGAGGCTGACATCGTGCTCGACACTTCAAGGAGTTAAATTTGCAGCGCGCTCGCACTCGATCACACTTTCAAGCTACGCCAATGCTTGGAAACACGACTGCGCTGCTACACTCCCCTGCCGCCTCTGACAAAATATGGCTGCCTACCCAAAGTGCATAGCATTGCTGCAGTTCATGCAAGCTTCGTATAGATGACTTGCACAGACATCACAGAAAGCGGCTTGTTAGAGCACCAGCACGTGGGGAAGCGACGTTTTCAATGTCACAATAATATTGTCAACACGTCACCTGAATTTTTTTACATTATTGGCGCGTGACGTTCTTTGCCACGGTTTTACATAGAAAATTGTTTGTCATCGAAGCAGCCATCGTAGAACAACAATTCCTTTCAGGAACATGAAGCCATGGTGTTCATTCATACATGGTGTTCATTTGATGTCCCACCGTTTTCGTCCTCTCCTGCCATGCCCCGGTACCTCCCTGGGTACCTACAGCAGTTCGCGTGCTGCAGCGCGGTTTGTCGAGGGCTCGTCATCTGGTGCTGTGCACGGTGTTCAGAAAGAAGCTGCTGTGCACAGTGTTCAGAGAGAAGCCGTGCGTTTTTTTTTGTTGTCGAACTGTTGGCCGCGCTTGTTCACTCGATACGATCCCAGAAAATCAACAGTTTGACACGTATACCAGCCATCGCGTACACCGGCTGCCCACCGCGATCTATGAGGACCCATTATCTTGCTTTCACCACAAATTGCGTGGCCCAAGAACAAGCCAGAACCAAAGTCTCTCGAGACGCAATTGAAAAAGTGGATGAGCAAATTTTATTATATTTCTACTGTCCACGCCATCAAAGTAACAGTGCAGCTCCCCAAGTGTGCCCCGCCACGGTGGTCTAGTGGTTAAGGTACTCGGCTGCTGACCCGCAGGTCGCGGGATCAAATCCCGGCTGTGGCGGCTGCATTTCCGATGGAGGCGGAAATGTTGTAGGCCCGTGTACTCAGATTTGGGTGCACGTTAAAGAACCCCAGGTGGTCGAAATTTCCGGAGCCCTCCACTACGGCGTCTCTCATAATCAAATAGTGGTTTTGGGACGTTAAACCCCACAAATCAATCAATCAATCCCCAAGTGTTTTAAACAGTACGAGCCTCTTTGATTGAAATTTGTAGAAACGGCCGAAGAAAATGTGCGAAGTAGATACTTCGCGTATTGCGTGCCGTGGTAATGGCGGCCACTTATTTTTTTCACGTGTGCTTGGACATTTTTTTTTCTTTGTATTTTACTTTTTGTTGTGCGCTAATGTACAGTGGAGTCCCTGAAAATTATGGAGACCGTTTCAGGGAATCAATCAACCAATTTTTAAAAAACCTGACCCCCCAACTCGAACCGATCGGCTATACTTCAATTGCGAGTGAACAAATATTGTTTCACATCCATTTTCGCAGTTGTTTGTTTCAATGCAATACCCAAATATCTGCGATCGCCTTCACGATCTTAAACGCCTCCCTGACAAGCTGATTGTGCACACAGGAATCATGAACAAGTTTGTATGTACAGTAAGCTAACTGTTTGCAGGTACATGCTTGTATATTGCCCTTACCCGTAATGAAGTTACACCTGAAGGCGAAAATATCACCGAGGTTCTTCAAGTCACATTTTCAGATTTGATTTATATGTGGGGTTTAACGTCCCAAAACCACCATATGATTATGAGAGACGCCGTAGTGGAGGGCCCCGGAAATTTCGACCACCTGGGGTTCTTTGACGTGCACCCAAATCTGAGCACACGGGCCTACAACATTTCCGCCTCCATCGGAAATGCAGCCGCCGCCCCCGGGATACGAAAAGTCACATTTTCAGCATGGGGAGAAATGACCGAGGCTCGTGTACTTATGTTTGGGTGCACGTTAACGACCCTCAGGCACTCCTGACTCCTCTTGCACTAAAGCATCTCTCATATAACGGTTTTGGGACGCAAAACCACGACAATTATTATCATTATAATTAAAAAATAACAATAACAATGACAATAGTGAGGTCAGCGCCGTGAAGTCGTTCTTTGTCTATCTCGTGACTGCACACTGGTTTCGTGCTTTTATAACTTTCACGACTCGCGACAGAGTTGTGAAACTAGATACCTATTGCACAGCGTAACAATACCCCACCTGCGCTTCAGGGAAGCTGGCTTGTCTTTTTGACGCCTCGAATGTATGGCCATAAGATCCCCGCTGAGGGCTTCCCACTCCTCGGGGTTCGACTGACTCGAGAACCAAGCGCTCGAGGCAGGGCTAGCACCGAGACGCGACGTCTTCAGGAGTTCCCTGATGCACACCTGCAGAGGCACACCCCAGGTAAATATACAGGAACATTTAAAAAATGGCGTATTTCATAGTCTTAAAATCTACTAGGAACGCTGCAAAAGCGGCAAATGCTGGCTACCGGGCCTATAATCACGTGTTCTCTATCGATAGAATTATACAGTTCGCAAGGGTTCACCAAAGGTTCGCAAATACGTAAACTTGCTTCTGCAGCACACAAGACTGCAGCACGGTAACTTTTCTAAGTTTACTTACTGCGAGAGGACGAGCCATTGCCGTGAAAAGTCAGTTTAAACAGCGGTCAACGGAGTCGAGTACAACAGCCCAAAACACGAGCACGCATGCGAGCACGTTTCTGTGGCGCTCAAATCGCGCGTTTTCTCGAAAGCGACAGCAGCGCTAATCAGGCGCGAAATGCAAATATACAACTACAAAAAAATGTTGTGACCTCCAAGATTACCTTCAACAACGTAGCGCCCATCATAGAGTAAAGGTAATGCCAATCTCGAAAGCTAAAAAAATCTTCTTTTTTTTAATTTCAAGCAAAGTATGCACAAAAATATTGTTTAGGCAACGCAAATACTGCTACAATGTTTTTACTTGAAAGTATGAGATTAAGTGACATGAAAATATGAATCACTAATCACAAATCCCCAAGGATTTAGTTTCGGTTTCGATTCTTTTTTTCCTGCTATCGACCGTTTGCGCGGCGAACGGAGGAGTGGCAGCTTTCAACCGCTTCTCCTCGATACGCTCGATAACATGTCGCGGAGCGCGAGCACACCTGCGTAGCGTTCTTATCGGGCTATCGAAAGCGCGGCACTATCAGGTATGCTGCTATCACATGTGAACCTCAGCTCGTCCGGAAAGCAGCATCAGAACGACACGATGTCGGGCGCCGTGCGAGCCACACGGGATGAAATTATCCTCGAAGACATGGTGAGCGAATTCCGAGACTGTATCGCATGCGCACGTACGTTTTTTCTTATCACGGTACCCGCTGGTGGATGGTTTTGTTGTTGTTGTTGTTTACCTGTCTTCAAGTTGGCGCATTACGCGACAGAAAGCATGCTTTCTCTCTGGAGAGTTGTGCGCGACACCGGCTGCTAGCGCGCTCGTGACGTCAAAGGAAACGAGATCAAACCTTGCTGGCGCGCAAATTAACTTCAGCGGTGCTAGAATTCGTGAAGTTGCGTCAACAGGACCAATCGCAACACTCCTCTAGTATTGTTGCCATATTTTTATCGATTTTTTTAATGCGCATTTGGTCTACCGCTCGCCCAACCCAAAAGGCAGTGATGCACTGCAGTGAAGCCTGCTTTAGGTAGTTAAATGGCAATATTTATTATCTCTAGTTTAGTCACACGCTTTCCGCAGCTAAGAGCGATCAGGCGGTGCACGTTATTCTTGTTTGTTATATACTCATAATGCCGCATAAAAGGTAATTGTTTTTATGCAGTGCCTTTTTCGCTGTATTTGATAAGACAATGTTATCGTCCCACCTGTTAGCGTGTCGATAACCCCGCATGTAGTACAGCGTGCGATACCCACCGAGTTTTGTCGGTGACCTTATAATAGCGTGTGAGCCATCACATTTTTTTAACGTTACGTCAATATGTAAACTGTACACTAAGAATGCCAATTCACCAGATTGCCACGAATGCAGTTTCGCCGTTATACGTATACATTTCTGGGAACCACTACAAGCGTCATAACAATGTGGGAGATGTCGAATTCAGTAAAAACAGTATTACTACAAAAGGAACCGTTTTCGATCCAGCCACGTAAGTAAATATTGCTTAGCATTGTACGCTCGAGGGCTATATTTAGAACAAACTAATTTCATGGTTTTGATGAAGGGCGCATGAATTGATATACAGGTGCAGTCGCTGGATCAGTGGCTAGGGTGCTCGGCTGTTGAGTCGAACTTTGCGGGTTATCCCAGCTGTGGCAGTCGTATTTCGATGCATGCAGCTGAAATGGTAGAAGCCGTGTACTGTCAGTGCACCTTAAAGAACTTTGCGGAGCCCTTTATATCTTAGTTATGGGACGTAAAACTCCACATATTATTATTATTATTATTATTATTATTATTATTATTATTATTATTATTATTATTATTATTATTATTATTTATTCAGTCACGGAGCAGTTTGTTATATATCTAACGTCAAAAAAAGAGGAAATTAATCACCAAGACTCTCAGATATGTGCCCTGTCAAAATGGTTTCGACCCCCACCGTTTCACGGTGATGCCTGTTCATGCGTATGTCGATCAACAAAGATCAGGGAAGTTCCGAAGTCCGGGATATATTGCCAGCGTTAGCGTGTGGAACGTTTGTAACTAAGTTATTTGCGAAACAAATTATACGTTGTATGTCCCCGTAAATTCGTTGTAAAAGTGAAGGAATTCGATTGAAGCCGCCGTTGAAGCTTGGTGCGCAAGATGTCGCGGTACTATGAGCTGAAGGTCGCGGGTCCGACTCCTGGCCACGGCGCCCGCATTTCGATGGAGGCGAAATCGAAACGAACGCCCTTGTGCTTAATCCGCAGTCCTTTTACTATACGGTGCACCTCATAGTAATACACTGATTTTGACACATATATATCCCAGTAATTATTGCGCAAGCGAACGTGCTGCTGACCGATTATAAAATATCCGCTTTATTTTGTAGGGATATATGCATATGAAGGCGCATGTTTGTCCCAGTGATGAATTTTAGGAGACGTTGTTTTGTTAGTTTTATTGTGTGCCATTTCGTAGAGGACAAAGTCATTAATTATAGCGCAGCAAGTGTACCCGGTAAATTTCTCAACATTTGCAATCATGTTGAAAAAAAAACTCGTGGATATTGATTGATCGATATGTGGGGTTTAACGTCCCAAAACCACCATATGATTATGAGAGACGCCGTAGTGGAGGGCTCCGGAAATTTCAACCACCTGGGGTTCTTTAACGTGCACCCAAATCTGAGCACACGGGCCTACAACATTTCCGCCTCCATCGGAAATGCAGCCGCCGCAGCCGGGATTTGATCCCGCGACCTGCGGGTCAGCAGCCGAGTACCTTAGCCACTATAGACTGCCGCGGCGGAGCTGCAGCCGACGTTGGCGTCTTTCTTCAGTGTCGCGAGATCTCAGGGCGGTGGTAAGTGGTGGGCCCTCATTACAGCCACTTTGGGAGCTCTACGCGCCACAACCTTCGCTTTCGTGGAGGTGTATGCGAATGTGAGAAGTAGTTAGGAGGCGTTATAACTCGCAAAAAAAAAAAGTGTTACCTAGAGGGCGCTTCAAACTTTGGGCACCCAAGTGAAACTGTCACGCTAAATAATTTGTATAGTATTAGTTATTACGAAACATTTTTTTCATTATTTTCAAGGCTGTTCTTTCACGACTCTAATAGTTTATTCATTTTTGCTTTATTTTCTTTCTTTTTCGCTTTGGCGACAAATTGCAGTATGCTGCACGTCTAGCGTTTTTTTTTTTAATAAAAGGACAAACATTTTTGTTAGTAACATATTTTCATTTTCTGTTTTAGATGGTCCTATAATAAATTATTATAATGCTGCGGGAGCACATAAAGTAAAAAGGAGGAGGATTAAAAGAGGAAGGACAGGAAGGTGGAAATGAAGTAAAAATGGTGGCAAAATATTGTGGCAAAGTTAGAAAAAAACGGCATTTTGACTCATATTGTGGCCTAATTTTTCGCAATGAAGCAGTTCAAATAAAAATATGGCTTTTATATTGTTGCATAATATAGCTTGTCAGTAAAATAAGAAGGAGGTTTTAGAAGAGTAGTTTGTGTTTCGAGGGAGAAAAAAAATTGGCAGATCCCACGTTTATTTATACCAGAGTCTACTACCTGGTAATTTATAATTTACCAGGTAATTACCAGGTAATTTATACCTGGTAATTTATACCAGAGTCTACAAAATTATCTCAATATGATAAAAAGATGGCTTAAAAATATTCATATGACCCTGAACGTAAAGAAAAGTGCGCTCCTTGCATTCTCTTTTCTGCAGCCTATCAACATCTCGTTAATGTACAGTAATGAGCTCATTCCGCAGGCGAATTCCCTTAAATATTTGGGCATCGTATATAATGACACATTAAATTGGAGAAGTCACATTGATGATGTGTACTCCAAGGCAACACGGGCCATGGGGTGGCTACGGAAGCTTTCAAACCGTAAAGCGGGTTTAAAAAGAGATGTGCTAATAATGATATACAAACTTTATGTGTGGCCTATCATTGAATTCGGATGTGCATTATTTTCTGGCAGCGCAGCGTATAAAATGAGACCCCTCATACTGCTGGAAAGAGAAGCGTTGCGTTTGTGTCTGGGTCTACCAAAGTTTGTTGCAAATAACGTGTTGCATACGGAAGCTCGCCTACCTTCTCTGCTAAATAGGTTCAAAATTCTTACTGTGCAGGCATTCTTAAAGATATACAGTTCACACCAAAGACTCTCATTTTATGCTTTCATTCAAGAACCAACTTTGTTCTTCGAAACCCATTGGTCGCGACTAGACACCCCGCAAATAGTATTTGCACAAGCGCTACTAAAGCAACTGAATGTAAAAATTAGACATATTGGTCCAATACACAACGTAAAGTCAATGCTCAGCATACAATTCGATGATATATTTCCTCATAACGCGAAACAATTGGCATATAGGTATTTAAATGACCAGTTAGCAGATTGTCTAGCTCACCTAGAGATAAGCAATATCATAGCGACTGATGCATCTGTGTCAAAAGAAAAGGCTGGGGTTGGCATCTTCTCTCCTTCTTTGGACTGGTCCTTTTCGATTCGACTCCCAGATTATACCCCGGTATTCATGGCAGAATTATTGGCCATTGTTCTTGCCCTACGCAAATTACCCTCAAGCGAATCATTAGCAGTGATCATTACAGATTCGTTATCAGTTGTAATGCACTTTCTGCGGCAGTAAATTCAGAGCTGATGAATACGTTTCGGCATTTAGTACCGAAAAACGTAAAAAAAACTGCATTTGCTATGGGTACCAGGCCACCGCGGATTATATTTGAACGAAATGGCGGACTCTTTAGCAGCAGTATCCTTGGGTGGGCCCACCATTCCAGTTTGCCAGATACGGCTTACGTAACCGCGCTAAGGTTCCGAAATGCTTGCCTGCAATGGGGAAAAGGTAATTTGGATAACTTCAAAGATTTCGAGCATTTGAGCTATTGCTGGAATAAACAGTGGTGTTTATCTCGCCAGTTAGAGGTCACTTATACCAGATTGCGCTGTGCAGTTCCACAACTAAATTATTACCTTAATAAAGCTCAGCTCAAGGCGTCACCGCTATGCATTTGGTGCAACCAAATTGAAACAATTGAACATTTCTTTTTATTCTGTCATCGTTATTCTTATCAGAGAAAAAGATTTTTAGTAGCCCCATTACAAAAGCTAGGAATACAAGTAAATTTACCAGTAATTTTATCACTTGGCGGAGCTTCATTTGGTTACTGCCACAGGGATGTATGCTCCGCTGTGTTTGACTACATCAACGCAACTAAAAGACTACCATGCCAGTGAACCACTACCTTTTCAGATCTTTAGTGTATAATTCATAGTAATGTCTTTCAAAAACAAAAGATGGTTTGACCGCTTGCTCAGCACACATTTTTGTTTTTTTGGTAGTAATATTTTACGCTACTTTTTCAGATTGGCTTCATTTTTAGTTTAGTTTTCATTTAAGTATCCTGCCGCCCGGTTCTTGGCCCATCCCCCTTTGTGGGTAAGCGCCATCCATCAGAGGTCATCAGCATCAGCATCAGATCCCACGTGCAGTGGGAATCGATGATATGCGAAGCACTCATGAGAAATGTTGATATGTCACCTTTAAATTAGCACAATTAACGTTATGATGTGGAGGTAAATGATGTCGTACAGGGATTACGTGTCATGA